TGAGAAAATAAGAGCCTCTGAGCGGATGAGACTTTCGTATGGTCGAATTTTGTTTTGTTTTTGTGAGCCTGCCAGTGTTTTTGCAAGGTCGGGTAGACCAAAAAATTCCTTGACAGGCTCAAACAAATCAAACATTTCAAACGCCCATAGTCACAAAACCCTGGCAGGCTCCAAAAGATCCAAAAATGTACCACCCCCCAGAGTCCCCATAGATCCTAAAACTGTTGTTTTTTGGAGCCTGCTAGGGTTTTGCGACTATGATTATTGGTTAAAAACACAAGGCTAATACCTAGTAACAACGAAGGGTGCCTTTTGTGTTTTTCAGAAGGTGCTGGACATGTACATGTGTAATTATGTATGATATTTGAATATTTGTTCTTAACTTTATAGCAGGACAACGTTTTTGTCGAACCTAACAACATGCTTCATTATTAGTTAAAAACACAAGGCTAATACCTAGTAACAACGAAGGGTGCCTTTTGTGTTTTTTTTTCAGAAGGTGCTGGACATGTACATGTGTAATTATGTATGATATTCCAATATTTGCTCTTAACTTTATAGCAGGACAACGTTTTTGTCGAACCTAACAGCATGCTTCATTATTGGTTAAAAACTCAAGGTTAATACCTAGTAACAACGCAGAGTACCTTTTGTGTTTTTCAGAAGGTGCTGGACATGTACATGTGTAATTATGTATGATATTACAATATTTTTCATAACTTTATAGCAGGACAACGTTTTTGTCGAACCTAACAGCATGCTTCATTAATAGTTTTAACACAAGGCTAGTACCTAGTAACAACGCACTTGGGGTGCCGAAATTTGCGCTTCTTGACTTCTAAAACGGGACACGCCCTTTCCCCTTAGAGTCCTACGTGGAATATGTCGACGCCTAAATTGCGGTCAGATTTCCACACTTGAAAGCCTTGTAAGCATTATAAATCTAAACGGGTGTGGAAATCTGACCGTGCTGTACCTGCCAGGCAAAATGGACGTGTCAATCCGATCCGCTGTAGACCGCAAGTGTCATGTTGGAACAGAGTAAGAAGCGTAAACTTTAGGGTTCTTGAAGTATATATATAAGAGGTCACGTCGCCTGCAACCACCCCACGCGAAACGCGCACTTTATTCCAAGGTGCGATTGACCTTTCAGTAACCCTTACAGCATTTCGGCTGTCTGGCAGTTAAATTAAGGCACGTCTACTGTGTTTTACAATAGTTCCTTTTTTGTCATATTGACAGTGGGATTGTAAGATGAAAATGGGTTCCCATTGGCCATTGCCAAACAAACCGGGTAATCTTTCAACGAAAGATGCTGGTCCGAGTGAGTTCTTTCAAGTGGTGACGCGTATTCGCGCGCCACACAAGGAGTACCCGTACTCTCTGATCTTGCTGTTGAGGCTAGGAACAAGGACGCTACTAGTAGCTCCTGGCCTTGCTACTAGGAACAAGAAACTACTGGTGGTTTAAGCGTCTTTTGTTTATAGCCAAAAGATTCTCCCAGTGGCCCTCTGAATTCATCCATATGTTCCCACGCCTGTCGCTGTTTTTGAGGGGTAGGGGGTGGGGGTTGGGGGTAATACACCTCGGTATCTAATGTGATATGTTGTTAGAAGACTGAAGATCTGATCTGTGTGTCATGTCTACGTAACATAAAGACACTGTGACGCTCTTGTCTACGGTACATGAGGATAGTGGTTGACGTTCCTCTGTACGTTATATGAAGCAAGTGTATAAGTGTGGTTGACGTTCCTTTCTAAATTGAATGAAGAAAGTGTGTAAGTGTGATTGACATTCCTTTCTATATATATATATATATACGTTAAATGAAGAAAGTGCACGTTTCTCTTTAGGGTGTTTCAGGAAAGTGATTACGTTTATGTCTAAGGGCGGAAAGGTCTGTTCGGGACTCTGGGGCGCACTGCCTTGACCGCAAGTGGCAAAGTTTGAAGAAGTACATCCCCAAAGAGCTCCTTCCGAAACCTATGCTAGCCTGCGTCCTTGCTCCTAGTAGCGATGCCCTTTGTTCCTAGGGTCGTTATAGCTGGTGTGAGCATATACAAGGAAGTTCAGCCTACTCAAAAATTGATATGGACCAACAAGTGCATGTGCTCTTGGCTGAAAAACATAATCCTGACCTGTATGAGCTGCAAACCTTTTTGGCGAATGCGGCAACTTGTAGTTCTTGCTACTGAATCGTGTGTCTAGATGTCACTTGAATGATGCCGGTTGGACAGGAGAAGCTTCATGCTATCTATCAGGCAGACAGCTGGATCTTTCGTTGTTGCGTCGGCGGGAATCATGATGTTGTATTCTGCTCATTTGACAAATGTTGCTGTTACGCTTCGGATCTGGCAAACTTGCAGGAAAATCCTTTAGTTTTGCTGGCTGGTCCAACCTCCAGAGGCTGGTTTGGAGGTTTCGAAAAAGTCAGTCTTGGGCACCCACATTGTGGGTGTGTCGAGAGGAGAGATCCAAAGTACGCAGACCAGTTTCAATCCGAATTGGTAGGACCTCTCAGCAGCTATGCTGAAGAGAGCGGCCCTTTCGCAGCCATGGCAGCAACCAAACTCAGGCTGGATTTGGTCACTGAATCCGCAAAAGCTAGTGACAACCTCTTTACAGAATCTGGACCAGCCCAGCTTTTGACAGTTTGATTTGAGAGCTGTGTGCCGGAAGCTTGCAAACATTCGAAGGTGCCCACAGTGAAAGCCAAAGTCCTATGTAAATCCACGCAGTTCTAGGAAAGGCTCAAAACATCCAGAAGCACCATGCTTTCCAACCAGGCTTTGCCGTCGTGTTGAAAGCACAAACCATTGGTCGGGGTTGGCTTGCCTTCCTCCTATTTTGTGATTTTGCGAGCTTTCGCTTGTATCATGTTTGTTTTTTCTTTGGCTTTGAAGGTCCAGTCTTACCTTGTGTGAACTTCCATTGCCTTTAGTTTGTTTTGTCGCTTCTACAAATCTGTGATTGGCAGATACTTTTGCCACCGGGAGCATTCGTACACGCACTTGCAGAGTGAATAGTGAATTCACCATCAGTTCTCAACTGCTTCGGTTGTGAGGCAATTCCAGAGCACATTTGCCGAGCTGACAGGACACTATGACAATCCCAACAGCTTTTCCAATGCTAGTTGTGCTTGCTGTGCTTCATGACTATGTGCATTAGGACCTACAAAGTGAGGCGACCTGAACCAAGTTGGGAAAGATGCCACGACACGACTGCAGCTGCTGAATCATTCCAACATCATCGGAACACGCCATGCTGCTCCATGGTCAATGTCTATGAAGCGATTCGATGCAGATGCGACAGCTTCATTTTCAGCTCAGATATGAACGAACATACAGAACATACAAATCATTGGTCAATGATGAACATCATCCCACAAGAGCAGCAAGCACATTGAACACGCTTAGTTGTGCCCCCCCGTTTCTCTTGGTTGCTTTTTGGATCTGGAAGCCATGTTTATTTGGAATTGGGTAGACAGAAGCTTGCCCTGTGCCGAACTAAACCAAACTGACAAACATGTTGAAAGGGGTAGATCGATATCGACTCCCTTTTCATGTGCCAGAATGCCAGGAGAGTAGATCAAAGGCACTCACGTCGTTTGGCTATTCCAATGGCACTTTCCGCACTCATTGGTTCTGCGCTCTCGGAGGTCAGCTTTGTGAAGGCTTTGAGGATTGTACAGAAGTGTTAGGCACATTGTGCTAGGAACATCAAAGGGCACAGCGCCACACAGCTGCTGCTCTTGGCCTCTTGCAACGACTGCCGCCCAAGGCGAGAACGATATGACACAACATGTTTGCATTGAGAACCGAAAGATGACGTGAACATCAAGCAAGATATGAAATGGCTACAGGCAAAAGCTGCAATATGCTGTGCAACATGTGTTGAAAAGAAGCAATGCAATGGGAACAAACTGCTGACAGGACTTGGACTCAGACTTGGACGCGCTGATTGCAATTGCTCCAGATCTGGACTGCCTCAAAGTCTCAACTCGATATTCGTCATGGGTTTTGTGAGTGAACTATTGTGCTGAATTGAACTATTGTGCAAATGACGAAGAAAGGCACAACAAGTGAAATCTTGTATCATCTTAGCTCGGGACGGCGGGTTGCCATTGGTTCTTGTGTTGATTGACTGACTCTTTAGTACATAGATTCTTTGGCTCAAAAGCTCGCCGAAGCGAGACACAGACAGTGCGCAGGTTGTAGTGTTTGTTCTCTAGTAGGAGCATTGGGTGATTGACAATAATTTCATGAGTCTTCCTTGGAATGTTCTGATTTTCTAGACAGCAAGTTCCAACGCTTTCACCTAGCACCTTCCTCGAGCTTGCCGTCGGGATTGATTTAACGTGATTTCATGGCCAAGCTTTCAGTAGGCTGAGTGAGCGCTGATGCAGAGCGCCTCTTCCACTGGAACGCAAAGGTCTGCCAAAGCTCAGAAGTTCCACCGACTGCAGCTTTGCTGAAGATCTAAGTTGCCACCGCTGGCTTTTGTATTATGCAGATATATAACTCGCACGGCTTTACGATCTCTGATTGCATCTGCTTCACAGAAGGTATTCTAGCTCGTTCTCAGGTATTTTTGGCTCCAAGTGTTGAGCGTTTTTCACATGTCACATGACACTTTCTCAATCCTTAAGTCTTAAGTAAAGTTGCCCCATCACTCGGAGAATGGGACTAATATATATTATTGCAAAACGCAGTGGTAGCTGGAACCTGGGGTTTCTGCGGTCTCTTTTGACCATTGCGTGCTCGGCTTGAGCCAAAGTTTATGGCGTCAGCTTTTGACCAAGGTGGTCTTCTCGAAATGCACCGACCACATATTATGTTGGTCAAAAGGTGCTTGAAATCATGAAAACCTCATGGCCACCTCCTCGCTCTGCGAGCTTGCGCTGTAGCGCGGCCCCTTCTTCCAAAATGCTCCATTTTCCGGAGGACATCACTTCTCTAAGAAAGTCACCTCTGGTGTCTTTCGTGAGGGAGTCAGCTAACATAGTTCGTCCATCCACCCACCGAACTCGGCCGTTCATCTCGTGGACCTCCTGCTTGATGAGTGAGATGTCGATGGACGTGCGTTTGTCCTCACATTGTGATGCCGGGTTGGTGTCCTTGTTGATGGTGTCAAATAATGACTTGGAGTCTGTCACGCAGATGAAGGGGAGGCGTGCCACTTCGTTTTGCCACTGACGAGCTGAAAGGGTCAATCCCTTGGCTTCAAGGATCAGGACCCTATACCAGTGAACTGAACCTAGACCTCGAACCAAGGCCTGGGTCTCGGAGCTGAGCGTGTTGACCGTCCGCCTTTTTAGGCGATAGCTTTTCCAAGCTGCCAGGGTGACATTCTGCAAGGATTGAGACTCTGGTAGGTCTCGGTCATAGAAGAAAGTGATCTCTCCCCCTTGGCTGTACAACTTCAAGAGCTGCTCGTAGCCCCCATGGATCAGCTTTGCTTCTAGATGGTGTCCTTGTGGTTGTTTCTTAAAGGTGGTTGACCCCGTCCACGGTGAAGGTGCCAATGAGGTTATACTTGATGAAGATGTCCACTCGTCCTGGAGGACGTTCTTGTTGTCATTGATCTTGATCTCAGTGTATCGATCAGGTAGTAGATCGTGAAGATCCGGTCCATTTGGTGCAGCTGCCGGGTGAAATCCCGTGACTCTAGGAATTTGATGGTGCCGTATCCATCGGTCTGGTAACTCCTCCCACCAGTCTGTCTTGGAGTCCTCGAGGTATTGTCCAAATTCTCTGGCATTTCCCCAAGCTGCATCTGTGACGACTCCGGCGTGGAGTCGTTCAAGAGGAATTGGGCATCACTCGGATGCCCAATTGTGAATTGTCCAGAGCTTCCTTGGCGATGACATTGGCCATGAGAATGTCCCGGATCAAAGGTCTCGGAAAAGATTGTTGCACCAGTGCTATCTTTCCTGCAAGGTCAGCTCTCGTCTCCTTGGCTACCCAGGCCAAAGTGCCCAGTAGCGCTCGTAGTTGTTCAATCTCCACCGGGGTGCATTGGGAGTACTTTCTGCGTTTTCGTTCTTTGGTGATGGGCACTTCTTGTACTCTAGCCTTGACGTAGAACTCCTGGTCGATTCTGATAGAGCCGTCGGTAAGAGGTGTGAAGTCCTTGCCGACGAATCTTCCTTGTCCCCAGGTGTATTTCCCCAGGGTATATCTCTTCCGGAGGGTTTCCATCCGTTCCATGTGTCGTTGAGTTCCTCCATGAAGTAGATCATCTGTAGCAAGAGCAACGATGCCCTCGATGGAGTTCAGGTCCTCTTCCTCGTGGTTCTCCACAATGTTCTCCTGGCCCAGGAAGAAGAGACATGGGTCAACAATGGACTGACGATATCCCAGTTCTTTGGTGAGGTACTTCACGATATGCTTGAACCAGGCGGATGGACCATCTGTGAGCCCATAGCAGGTCTTCTTCAATCTGATCAACTGATTGGGTTCCACCCCAGGAATTCCTTCTCGTGGTAGTTCTGCGTAGAGTTCTCTGTTGATGGCATCTCCACTATGAAATGCCTGGGTGAAGTCTGCATATCCCGGTTGCCAACCCTTAGACGCCAGGATCTGTGTGGCGAACACGACCGAGTCCCGATGAACTTGTGGGGTACTGGTCTCCAGGCTGAGAAGGTCTGGTTCACTGAACCCCATCATTACATGTCGACATTTTGCTTTTGTTGGACCCTCACTGACGTTGGAGTCTAGGATGATGTCGGACGACTTGGCATCCTCCAGGGCGAAGTCCTCGATGGGCTTGCACGTGAAGACATAGCGAGACTTCATGATCTTGTCGGGTTTATTTCTTCGGACCTGAGCGGATTCGGTTGGTGACAAGATCTCGTAGGCTCCAGTCCCAAGGTTGTTGTTGATCTCTTTGTGAATTGCTTGTTTGAATCTCTCCAGGTCCTTCCCCGTGAAGTCTTTTAGGGAGCATTCCCGATTTTTGCCCGGTCGAGTGTTTCCACGAGGTCCAAGTTGAAGGTGTAGAGCTTCGAGAAGTTCTAACCGGGATTTCTTCATCGGTGGAATGTTCTCCCAGCGGTCTTCGGTGTGTTCACTACCTGGCCGTTTCTCGGCCTCTTCACGTGGCAAGGTCTGGGAAGGAGCCAGTGACGGGGTATAGGTAGTCAGCCCTGCCGATGCATCGCTGGGTAGTCCGACTTGATGAGGAAGGAGTCCAGGAGGTGGTTCCATTATTGCTTCTTCATCTTCTAGAACTGTTGGAAGTTCCACTTCGGGCGTGTTGTTCGGTGAAGCGTTTGATTCAGCTGGCGTCTCTTCCGTCGGTTTGGTCGTCTTTTCCTCCTTGATCTCCTTGCCATCTGAATCCATAGTTGCCTTTTGTCGCACTCGTCGGAGCGGAGGTGATAGCCTGTCTGGTCTCTTGATCCCCTGAGCTGGTAGTACTTCTTGAAGTCGAAACCATGTCTTTCCAGTCCATGACTCCACTGGCGGTGATCTGGCCAAGTCAGATGAATCCTGCCACGTAGTTTCTTCGACCTGGACGCTTCTGTCAGGGAGTATCATTTCGTGGCGGCGCCAGTCGTCAAGGTCCTCGATGTTGAAGGGCAGTGGCTGTCCGGACGGATCTGCTGGATGGAAGTAGGTGGATCTTGGGCTCTCATGTACTCGAATCCAATAGCTCCCCAGCTTAGTCCAGTAGTCATTGTTACTTTCCGAATCCTCCGGTGGAGTGTCCTGTTCTTTCTTCAAATCGATCATGCCCTTGACCTGGTCAGTCTCGAATTGTTGCTTCGCGTGTCCAATCCCTTCAAGCCATCCGGAGAGAGACAAATGTTCTTCTTCTGATGCGGGACGAAGCTTCTCCGGCGCGGCCTTGATGAGGTAGTGATTGTAGGATAACCACACTGTGGTAGGCAATTGAACTGCGATAACGCGGGCTGGTCCATGCCAAAAGGCATTAGCTGATCTTCGAGCAGGATCTGTACCTCGTCTCCAGAAGAAAACTGCCTGACCGGGTTGGTAGTCGTAGTGGGGTCGAGGTCCATGTGTGGCTGCAGCACGAACTGCTTGCCGGCAATCAATTTCATGAAAGGCTTTCGAGGCACTCTCGCGGATGTCCATGGCTTGTTGAATGCCTAGGTCTCCGGCTGCACAGCGACTTTGGACTGCCAGGTCGTCACTTCCCTCAGACATGAGTCCTCCTGGGATTCGCTGTTGGTACCCGAAGACCCGCTGAGCTGGTGAGAAGCCACCCCGACTCAGTAGTCTGTTTTTGGTGTGACAAGTAATGTCAATGACTTCCTTCCAGGTGTCCCAGTCCTTGCATGAAATTTGCTCCATGACTTTGTAAGCCATCTCCTTGAAGAGTTGTCCCTGTCGCTCCACGAAACCTCTCTGTTCTGGGGTTTCCAAAGAAGAGGGTAGTAGTTCGGTGCCGTCTGCCTCTGCATAGTCTTCAAATTGTTTTTGGAATTCTCTCCCAAGGTCACAGAGCAGTTTGCGAGGCGGGCCGAAGACTTTGACCCACTGTCGGTAACCCTGTCTGGCTGCCAGGGCGGTGTGATCACTGAGTGGAACTACCATTTGAAAGTGTGAGGCATAGTCACAAATATTCAAACAGTATTTTGTCTTCTGCGAGAAGCCCGTCCTCATTTGTATGGAGTCTACTCCAACAATCTCGTTGAGGCCGACTTCTTTTGGTGGAGCTCCAGCTCTGGAAGGTTTAGGCCTCTTGAATTTTTCGCACACTGAGCATTTGAGGTTGCGGGCGATCTCCAAGACTTGAGATGATGCCTTACTGCTCTTCAAGATTCTGATGAAGCGTTCTTGTCCTGGATGTCCAAGTCCTTCGTGCGCTCTCTTGACCAATGCCGGCAGTGACAAAGGATGACTGCCTGGAAAGTCTCCCTTCCTTCCATGGTCTTCATCATCGTGATCACCTTCAGGTTCTTGAGACTCGATAGCGTGACATTCGGCAACTCCCACGTCGAGGGGTACTGCTT